CAAAAAACAAATACCAATGTAAATGGCAATTTCAAAAAATAGAAGACTGTCAGCATCCCAGAAGACTATTTCATGTACCCTCTCAAACATTTTCTCCTTTTCCCAAAGGAAATGATTATCCTGACTTCTAACATTCTAAAAATGTTAGAACGTTTTTCCTGCTTTAAAAATGTTACATGAAAAAACCAATACTCTATACGTCCTTTTACGTACACTTCTTTTTCTCAATATTGTTTTTGAAATGACTTCACGTGGTTTAACTCAACTCATTTTTAGTACTGTGTATTATTCTGTCACATTAAAATATCACAATTTATCCATTCTACTGATTGAACATTTAGACTGTTTCCAGTTTGAGCTACTATGAATAATGCTGCTGTTGTGAATATTTTTGTTCCTATTTTTGGTGTACATGTGCTTGCATTTCATTAGGTTTATAACTAGGAGTGAAATTGCCAGTTATAGGATATGGATATATAAATCAATTTTATCTGATACTGCCAATTTTCTAAAGTGATTGATTATTCCAGTATCCAATCTCATCAGCAGTATGTGAACATTCTCTTCCCATTATCCCTTCTTTACATCAATATTTGGTATTTTCAATCTCCTTAAGTTTATCCATCTTGGTGGATGTGTAGTAGTATCTCAGTATGGTTTAAATTTCACTTCCTTGGCTACTGAAGAGTAGGTCACCTGTGTATCCTCTTTTTGAAGTGCCCTATCCATCTCTTGCACATTTTACCATTGGATTGTCTCTTTACTGATTTGTATGAGTTCACTGCATATTTTGGATACAAGCCCTTTGTTGATTATATGTAATATCTGCTTCCATTAGCAGCTTGCTTTTTCATGCTCTTAATGGTGTCTTTTGATGAATAGAACTTCTTAGATTTAATATAGTCCAATTGATCACTCTTTTTCTTTATGGTCAGTTTTTTTTGTGTGTGTTCAGTTTAAATAATCTTTCTAGCACTGATATCATAAACAGCTCTAGGAACTTTCTATAATGATGGAAAGGTTCTGTATTTGTGCTGTCAAATGCTATTTCCAAGTGTTATTGAACATTTGAAATGTGGCTAGTATGACTAAGAAACTTTAATTTAGTTTAAAATTTAATTTACATTTACATTTAAAATGTCCTGTGTGGCTAGTGGCCACTGTGTCAAACAGAGCAATGCTAGTTTATTGGTTCGTATTTTACATTTAGATCTGTGATCCAGCTGGGATAGATTTCATGTGTTTCTATAGTATAGTATAAGTCAGGTTAACATGTTTTCCCACATGGATATTCAATTGTCCCAGGAAAATTTGATGAAAACACTGTGCTTTCTCCACTGCTCTGCAGAGCCACTTTTTAAAACTCTTGCCTATTTGCATAGCTTTGTGTTGATTCCACATGATATTAATTATGTAGATCTATTAAGTCTTCATTTGATAGAATAAGTGCTTCTACTTTGTTCTTTAAGAGCATCTAGTCTATTCTTAGCCCTTTGTATTTCTATATGAATTTTAGAATCAGCTAGTCAAATCACACATACACATTCACACACACAATTCTATTGGTTTGCAATTAGAATTTTATTGACTCTATTGGCTTATTGGGGAGAATTAACATCTTTACATTGTTGAATTTTCTATCTAAGAAGTGGCATACTACTTTCTTTCAAACATGGTGGCAATTTTTTATATCTTTTGTTAGATTTATAGCTTTCAAAGATGGTGGCAATTTTTTATATTTTCTTTCAAAGATGGTGGCAATTTTTTATATCTTTTGTTAGATTTTATTTTTATATTCTTTCAAACATGGTGGCAATTTTTATATCTTTTTTTAGATTTATTCCTGGGGATTTGATATTTTTGATGCCATTATAAATAGCATCTCTAAATATTTCATTTTCTCTTTGCTGTTGGTATAGGAATGCAATTGATTTTTGTTGTGTTGATCTTATATGTGACAATCTTGCTAAACTCATTTATTCTGGTAATTCATTATGGATTCTTTTGTGTTTTCTACAAGCAGAATATATACAAGTAATGACTCTTATTTCCTTTTTCTGACCCTCCACCCTCATCTTTTTCTTGCCTTATTGTAGTGGTTGAAATCTCCAGTGCAGAGCTGAATAGTAATTAAGACAGTGGACGTCCTTGCCTTGTTTCTGATCTCAGGGAGAAAGCTGACAGTACTGTATCATTTTAGATATGATATTTGCTATAGACTTTTCTGCATTAGATAGCCTTTAAGAGATTCTGTTCATAGTCTGCTAGGAATTACATATAGAATT